AGTTTGCTTGTTCTAAAAGTTGGGAAGAGCGTTTTAAGAAGAGGCATAATATCAGTAGCGGAAAAATTGTTGGAGAGTCTGCCGGTGAAAAATTCTTCTTATGAAAACGTTAAAGGCGATCGATAAAAATGAAACATTTTCTATAAATCTCTTAGATGCAGCCAATTTCTTTCATAGAGCTTGGCAAAAAGTTAGCCGAAAAACCATTGCAAATTGCTTTAAGCATGGGGGATTTGTAAGGAAAGAAAATGATTATGAACCAGACGATGAAATTCCACTTAACGAATGGTTAGAAAAGTATAAACACTCTGACTACGAGTATGACACAGACGAAGATGTTGTCGAAGAACAAGTTAAAACCAAGTTGAGTGATTTCAATTTCTTCGCATATGTGAGCATTGATAATGGCATTCTTACAAGTAAAATGTTGACCGATGAGCAAATTATAGACTCCGTAACCGCATCTACAGCTTTAAGCGATAAGAAAAATATGACGATTTAGGTGAAACGTATTCTACTATAGACACTAATGCTGTTCCAACCATTTCTGAAATGACAAAAAAAGTGTCAGAATCTCGGAATTTTCTACAATCACGCCAAGCTCCTAATCATACCTGGGAGTCCTTTTGTGATCTTTAAAACTACATAAATAACATCTATTTTTGCAGCAGAAATGTACAAACAAAAATTACAGACTTTATGAAGTAGATTTCAAATTGAATTTTGTTTATCTTTTTGTGTTCTTTTTAGTCATACCTACTAACTTCTACTACTCTATGTAAAAATAACGAAATAAAATACACCACGTGTTTTTGTATTATTGTTCGCTTATAGCGAACTCTAGATATAATGAACCAGTTTTAGTTCATTTTTCAAGTTCGTTATATCCGGATTCAACTCTATATATAAGAGAAATATATAGAGAGAAAAACGTATCCAAACAGCCGTCCTAAAATCATATCACCCACGTCAAAAGCTGGCGTAACTCCTGCAAAAATAAAACAGAAGCACACCATTATTTCGGGAATTTCCCCCTTAACTTATGTCCCAACTGCACGATGCGTATTTTCATTATCTCAGTCCCGTCGAGTTTCAACAACTTTCCTCCTTGAAACTCCCAGAAAGTTTAGGAGTTGTATCGAGCAGCGGCATCCTGCGTGCGAACCACTTGGGAAATCTAAAATCCCTTTTTGTGTTTGATTTTTCGGAAAAGGGTCCCAGTCCTGCCCAACAGGGATTTTCTTAAATGGAAATGTTTTTGGGTGCTGCCGAATCGGTGCGAAGTTTGCCTTTTAAGTGCAAACTAGATGCCAGGTAAACGACGGGTTTTGGGATCGATGTTCCTGATCCTGCTACTGATTGCTGTTCAGCTATTGCTTTTCTTCGCAACTGTAAATAGACAATACACGTGAAAAATTCTTCAAATGTGATTTTCAGCTTAAACTACATGAAATTTAGGAAACAAGGATTTTTAAACTGAATATAAAATCATAAAAATTTGAAAATTGATCAATTTTTTCATTCGTTCGTGCTAAGTGTCTTCATTCGCGATTAAAGCACGCTGAACTTTTTTTCTAAATATGCCTCAGACTCATTGGGTCCTTTGGAGCCTCATAATTCATCATTGAAATATTGTTTCAACAAGCATTACTGTCACATGATTAAATGCTTTCCAAAAACAAATCAAAGGCGATCAAGTCTGGAAATGGAGGCGGTTTCTTCAGGGTTTATTTAAATAACTGGCTATTTGTCTTACGATTAATTGATTTGCTTTTACAGAACGAACCAAAGTTGTGTGCCATTTCTTCTCATTTATATTTAAAACCAAAAGTGAGTAGCAAGTTTTTTCATTATTGCCAAAGGCCAAACCTTTTTCGTCGTTTCACTAACATCTTGAATCATGAACGCTTTGGAATAAAACGAGCACCCTTGAAAAAATTTGATAAGATTCAACTGTCCTGATCAAAATTTCAAGTGTTTTTTCTACAGATTCTGCCCTGGCCCCCCTATTATGTGATATCTGATGTCTTCTGATACGCCTCTGATTTGATGCACTCCAGGATTTTCCGAATTTATAACCGATTCCCTCGAGGTGCATTATTTATGTCCCCTCAGGGCGGCTTGACGCGATTCTGTGCCAATCAATGGAGGGGCGGCGGCCCCTCCAGGGCTGCGGGACTTAAATGGGGATAAATTATCGGTCGGCTGGGGATGTCCGCGAGGGTTGACCGGTTGGTGTCTCGTTCCGTGTTAACTAGGCCAAATTAGGATCTGATGGAGATTTACAGTGAGTTCAACGGGCATTTTTTACCTACAGATGATCGATGATTGACTTCCAGTTGATTCTCCATTAATTATCTTCACGTTTTGATGTGGCTACCCTAATTGATATTTCTAAGTAAAGATGGAAAGTAGTTTGTGTACAGTGTATTTCATAAATATGTTAACTGTTGAAAAAGGTTCTTTGGATCAGGAAACTGCTCAACAAATTCAACTTTACACCGACTAATTTTGAAGCTTATGAAATTTTGATTGCTGCAAGCGATTTGGTTTCTGTTCGAAGTGATCTCTGTGCGTGTCTTTGCAAAAGTTTAGTGCCTCAGGTAAAGTTTCTATAGGGTGGCAAATGAAACAATGCAAAACCGGTGAAAGTTCCATGTGTTTTTGTCTATCTCGTTTATTTACAGCGTGGTCTCAAAAAAGTTAAATTTTTGGTTTAGCAGTGATAAGTTTTTGTCTATTGATCCGATTTTCAAGATCTAAGTTGAAGTTGTTGGATTTGAAAAAAATTCAATATACCTTCGGGGTTGCATGAATAAAAAATATTTGAAAGTAAACTTTACTTCAGTTGAAAGTCTGCCAGAATCACAGATTTCGCGGGAAATTCTGATTTGAACCATTTTTCATGCTTGTACATGCGACATGTCCATCGAATTTTCGTCAGAAATTATCTCTGAAGTTTAAGCTTCATGTCAAATAAGCTTTAGATCATGAAAATCGATCGAGGGGGATAACTACAAAGACGTTTTTTTGTCCAACTAGGAGCATGCCGAAATTTTGCATTTTTCAACCTGTAGCCTGAGCTGCTTAATTTTTAGCAAGCCATTGACGAACAAAAATAAACGAGGCCAAATAAGGCTTCAAACAGAAACCAAATCGCTTGAAGCAATCAGAATTGACCCACTTCCAAAGTTAGGACAAATTTCGCAGTGTAACGTTCATTTTGTTCAGCGGTTTATTCAAAGCTTTCTGTTCCTTCATCCAAATATCATTCCTGCATACATATAAACTAGAAACCTATAGAACTAAGTGATAGTGTGTAACTTAAAATGGTGCACCATTAAAATAACCACAACTAACCTAAAAAGGACCAATAAATCAGTCATGTCGGCAGACAGACTATCTTCCAACCCTTTAGCAGCAACGCGATAAAATACGCTTGCAGAAGGGTCCTCTCTTCATAAATCTACCGTTAACTTTCATTCGGAAATTCCAAAGTACCCGGCAAAACATAATTGTATTTTGCACAAGATGTATGGCGCAATTAGCAAATATTTGCTCATACTAATTAAAGGTTCTTATACGGCAATCGTTTGTTGTGTTGGAGAAGTTGCCTCTCCCCGCGTGTATTTAAATGTTAGAGGACACGTGCCTAACGTGGGGTGAAAAGTGCTCAATTTCAGTAAATCAGAAACGGTTTGTTGTTTGTCTCATATCATTCTGATGAAATGCACTTGACCTGGTCTTTACTTGTATTGTTATTTAAATCGGAGTTGAAGGAAGTCATCTCGATTTACTCGACAATATCTCACAGCAATGAACCATTATGATATCGAGTTTCTATATGGCAATTCAATTTAAACATCTGTCGCCTTGATTCGATCCACCAGCAGTTTGGTGAGCATTCACTTGTGTAAAATGTTAATTTATCGATGTCATGTGGGCCATAATGTGATATGTTAATCCGGATAATCCATAGTAATTGACCAATAGATCAAGGGATACACTGCACCCTAGACCGATTTTTCATTTTTGTTAACAGTTGGGCGCACCTAATAGACTCGACGCTGTGCTGGTGTGAGAGTAAGGGATTTACTCCCACATGGCTGGTTTTCAATAGTTCAATAGCTAAGGAGGGACAATAGCAACATTTTTGTGAAAAACTCCAATTATTTGAGGGCGGGATTTGAACTTCTAACAGTTTTAAAGCCCTATGAAGAGCTGCTCCAACTCAAGACATTCTTAGGTTATTGAATTCCGTTAAACGATAGCTCTTTCTAATTAAAACTGCGATTGCTTAGTGCATAATTTCCCTGAAGAAAACGACCCCATTTTCCACGGAATAACCGAATAGAAAAACATTTACTTCTGCCTGGATCTCGAAACGGGAAAACGAAAAAAGATAAGGAGATCGTCGCGTATCTCCGTGATGGATGTAAAAACTACGTGCATATGTTGCCAAGAACTGTTCACCGTCGTCGAATCTGCATAAATATGACGTTTCTTTTCGTCCCTTTATTCCCGACATTTTATCGAATGAATCACGTTTAATGCCATAAAAACACACAGGGATTTTATGGCTCCCGAATACAATAAAAATTTTATTTATTAAAATCTGTCCGTGCCGCTTTTTGTCTTCTTTTATGGGCCCAGGACGAATCTATAAATAGACCTGGAGCTCTGGAAGTTTTATCAAAACATCAATTCGAATTCATATAATTTAAATAAATTGTGCTGATGTTAAACATTTCGTTTTTTTTTCTTTTCAGGTGAGTGTGTGTCTTCCGGCTTAACTATCACTGCCCTTCGACACATGCCCCCGCTTCGTAATGAATTTTTCGCAAGGTTGGTATTCTGTGCTTTGGCTTTTTGTTGTATTTAAGTTTTGTTTGATTTGTGTTTTTTGCATCAACATTTTTCCCTTCATTAGCTACTAAAATCACTTAAGTGTGTTAATGTCACTACCCCGATCGATTTTTAGACCCAACATCTTGTTTTTTTTTGTGCTTTGGTAGCTTACGGTGTTAAACAACTTACACAAAATCTATACTTTTTTGCAAACATCTACTCATATGTTTGATGTTAGAATTTAGGCAAATTACTCCATTTTTACACAAGCTTTTATTGAGGGAAGCTAGGGATTGTCGGTAGTTAATCTATCCGCTGCAATAACAGTTTCCAGACGTGTTGTGCAGTTGTTTTGTTCTCCAAGAACAATAATCAGTCAGATCAGCGAACGTAGCGAAATATTGTTAGTTGCGGTTGATTCTGTAAAGGATTACTGTTCTCTGAAGTTCTAAAATAAAGATTTTTTTTAAGTTTTAAAAGGATTTCTCTGAATGGGGAATAAGAAGCTTATCTCGGGTATAACTTCGTCCAGGTTTTCCAAATACGTATTTTTGCTTGAGAACGTTTGTGTTAATGTGGATTATTTAATGTAATTGTTGACTTAATAACACACAATTGCAATTCTTTTACGAAAACTGTGGCTCGGCATCAATCATAGGGAGTTTAGTTAAAAGATAGACAAGAAGAAGAATATTCAATTTTTCAAGATTTTGGCAAACTTGTTTCATCAACAACAAATAAGTATTTTTTAATTACTTTAATTTTTACGCGATATTTATTAATTATCATATCTTTGAGACACCTTTATCAGAGGCACTGCTTTAAATTAATAGATACTTAGATGCCAATTACATCCATGCCAAAATCAACATCTGTATCCAACAATTGAAAAAAAAATTAATGGGAATTTAACACTGTAACTATTTCCGTAATGTGCGAGAGATTATTCTCTAACGCGGGTGCTATCATTATTTATCATCACTATTTATACCATCATCATCATCATGCAACTTTTTCCTGAAAAATTTAAAAATTAACATGTTACTTTTTGAACGGCATTTTGGAACCTATTACCAAACTGAAACTGGACCGTTGGAACGTTTAGTAGCTTAATTTCAACCAAAACATTTTCAATATTAAAAACAAACTGGACTTAATAACGTACATAAATCACCCTTGATTTGAGCATGCATGTTTGGTAAAGGATGTTTTAATCCATCTTCAGCGAACTTTATCTGCTGCCCTTAGGGCTTGTATACGAGGAACATTAAACGTCTTGATCACTGACTATTTGAAGGTCCTTTTGCAGTCATTTGCACATTTTTCTGGTGGTTTTACGTGATAAGTTAAATCTCGTCCAATCAATATATCGCTGTCAAAAATGCCCCCGCTAGGGTTAAATGTGCTCGAAATGGAAGTGCGCTGGCTCCAATTAATTGCGCCTCAAATTGGAAATCAAGCCCACCAAATATCACTTAGCTGTTATTCATCTCGGAGCAAACAGGATTGTAACGTCCTAATTCCCATTCAGAATGCTGCCGAAACCGTCACGACCCAATCCAGGAGGATCCGTAGCTGACCCTACCTTTGTAATGTCTTTACGTTAGCATTAATAGGGTAAGCTGCCGGGCGGAAAATTACTTTTGTCGTCCGCCAAAATCATCCCTTAATTAGAAACTAGGATCTCGCCTTCGTTCCGGGAATTTGACGTTAGATTCATGAATATAGTTATATAACCGCCCAAGCGATGCTGGGAATTATCAGGTGACAGACTCAAATGCTAATTTAGATAATGCAAATAGACGGCAATGTTTTATACTAAGTGATTCTCGAGTTGGTACATAATATAGTGGAAATATATTAATTTATTCTGTGCGTGGATCTTGCAGGATCAGTTGATCAAAGAATATATGGAAATGATGTGTCGTCTTATTTGAGGTGCTGCTGCTGCTGCTGCTTATGTACGACGGAAACCGACAGAATCAATCACAAATTGCATTTTCTTCCAGTTCGGAGTTCCAAACTGATGAATTCCGATTTTTATCCAAATGACTACATTGGAAATGGGGTTAATTTCCCCAAATTTTACACAGCATTATTCAAGAATTTAAGTTAAATTGCGAGCATTTGCTCCTTAATGCTGCCCTTTAATTTGCTCAGAGTTATCAGACCGTTGTAAATGGCAAGTTCTTTATTTGGGCCCCCGCTAGAAATCCGCTGGGTTAAGATCGGGCCAGCTGGGTGGCCGCACACTTGCAAAACGGCTGCTTATAACACGACATTAAAAAACCGCAGTTAACAAAGCTTTAACTGATGTGCGAGGTCTCCATCCCGAAATTGAGCAAACCGAAAATAACCCAATGGTAAATCTACTAGACATTAACTGCCTGTAATTTATCGGTAATGATCTCTAATGTAATGTCTCAATCTATTAGATTAAGGTTGATTATTTCAGTCAGGTCCTTTCGGACGCACAACACATATTTCATCACAAATGACAGCACATATATTTCCGTCTCCTATTTAATAAAGTGTGGCAAAAAAAGCGGCGGCATTTTCAAATTAAGCTCGCCAACGTTACCCTGTATGTTATTTATGGTCCTTCGTAATTGCTAATAGTGCACACTCGTGTACGTTAATAAAAGCGACATTGGAACGTGTCGACTGAACGACTGCTGCCGACTTGTGTGTCGATTCAAATATGCATTTCCATATCGTTTTCGCATTTCCCATTTGTATATCGATGATTTCGTTCGTATTCGAAACGAAACACCAAACACCGCATTATTGTCGATTTCCGATCGTCCAGTTGCGTTCATTGTTTGGTTGCTCTAATTTTGCTGTTTTCAAATCAACCGCCGTACATATTTTGAAACGATTATTGTTGACTCATTATCAGTATCATCTTTTGCTCATTCTATCAGCATTTTTCATCTACAAGTACATTATGATGGATTTTGAGAAATTTGTAGATGTTAGAAATGATTGTATATACTTTCCTGACTGTGTTTCAATTCCAAATCAAAATTAATTCCTGGGTTTCAGTCATTTACTGTCTTTATTTAGCAATTAAAATACGCTTCGGTGTATTTTTCCACCATCAGTTTTTCTAAAATAACATAGTTAAAAAAAAAATTCATTAATTTAAAAAATAACAATCACAGTTCGTCAACAGCCTCATCATATTAAAATACATCACAATTGCAACACTTTAAAACATTCTAAATTTAATTGATGTGATAACACAAAAATACTGATTAACGAGAGTAATTATAATAAGAGAAGAGTCCATGAAACGATACAGATTAAAAAACATAACAATGCTATGAATTTTAGATCGGATACCGACAATCTTAGCTCAGTATATCATACGTTAATTAAATGAAATAAACATAGAATATTTTAACACCCGTTATATTGAAGAATTTTGCAAACCAAAAATAATATTCTCAGAATTCAAAGAAAAATAGCTGAAAGTAAATGAAATAAATATAAACAATATTTTATTCGCTTTGTGTCCAAAATGGACAAAATTAATACTCCAAATGTATGCCAAGGCTTGAAGCAGCAACAACGCTACACGTGTAAGTAAAAATATTTAAGTATCTGAACAAAGAATTCTAGTCTCTTCCCAAATTTGATTGTTCTGACAATTGTGATGTATTTTAGTGCGTGATATGATGAAGCTGTTGACGAACTGTGATTGTTTTTTAAATTAATGAATTTTTAACTATCTGTTATTTTAGAAAAACTGATGATGGTGGAAAAATACACCGAAACGTATTTTACTTGATAAATAGAGACAATAAATGACAAACCCAGGAATGAATTTTGATTTGGAATTGAAACACAGTCAGGAAAGTATATACAATTGTTTACTACTAGTAAAATGTGGGATTTTACCTGTGAAAGTATGGGCCTTTTGCTTAAATTGCTATAAACAGTGAAAATATACGACTACAATATATTTAAGCTAACTTGAATACATTTTGAGCGGACTTTGTAGATAATTTTCTATAGCTTTCAGAGAATTTAGTTTGTGTGAACATGAACTTGAATTGAGTTGGGAAACTTGGCTAAAACTGTGGATCGTGTGAAAAACGTTATTAAAATGGTTTTAGTTGATGCTACAAAATAATTTTGTTGAATTTTTAAATCTGCTAGACTAGAAAAAGCATATTGTTGTCAATGTGCTTTGAAACGATGGCAAATTTATTATCCGAAGATTAGCTCTCTAGAAACGAAATTCGAGCAAATTCTATATGAAACCTGTAAAAATCGCTCATTTTCTGTTCAATTGATTTAAGTTCAACAGCACAGATCTTTTCACATTCTGCAGTAAATAAGAGTTTAAATTTGAAAACCTTTCTGTGCTCTAAAGTTTTTCATGGAACGCTGATAAATACTTTCAGGAGGCACTTATAAATACTATCTATGCAGGATTGCAAATATCCGGCTTATTGAAACAAATCATTATTTTAAATTAGGAATTTTTTCTATGAAAATATTGCCGCTTGATATTCCTCATTTCCTGTTGGTGCTATATATTTGCCCACAATTGGTTATCGAAAAACCATTAGATTTAGGCTCTGGGTAGAACTCATTTCTTTCCACATTGGATCAAATGATATTAAATCGAATTTCGAAAGGTTGATGTAACTCCACAAAAAGGCCGTCATAGCAAAACGTATTGAATTTTTTTGATCCTTTTGAGTTTTTATTAAAAATAATCTTCTTCATCTATTCTTCTAAATCTGTGAGAACCACGTGGACGTAGGAGAAATTTTCCTCTATTTGTGGAAATAATATATAACGAATGGAACGAATATTGAATGAGTGGACAAAAATGCTGAATTTATGACGGTTTTTTAAATCAAAAGTTAACCTTTGAAAGGCAAAACCGCTGAATATTAGCAATTTTATTGGGCATTTCATTCATAACTTGAGAACGAAGCCTATAAATCTTGAGCGAAGCTGGCCCAAAACGGGAAATAGCC